CAAAGGTGAAGGTCACAGTTAGAGCTCATAGCAAAACGCTTGTCTGAAGCAAAACTTCTACATGCATAGAGGGATTTCAATATAATTTGGCACAAATGTTCATCATTGTGAGGCTGAGTGCCGTGCATAAAATTCAGGTCCCTGCGACCAAGGTCAAGGTCACACATCCTGTGCATATCTTCCCTACTGATTTGTTTTAAGGTTCATTTAACAACACAGTGCCAAGGATAAAAACTTGCTTGCTAGATAACACTTATCCATAATGCCCCCATCTCCATCTAAAGCTTTCGTAAACAGGCGTATTTTGTGACTATGGCACCCTTGTTTTTTACTATCAAGCACTCAGAATAGTCGAGTGTTGCTGTCCTACCGACAGCTCTTGTTCAACTTAGAATTTACGTTAAAGGATTTGTAATAGTTCAAATATTTTCAAAGTCCATTGACATATGGCTTTGAAACTTTGCACACTTGTTCACCATCATGACCCCAACCTGTAGACAGGAGGAGGTAACTCTATCAAGCATTTTGACAGAATTATGCCCCTTTTTCGACTTAGAATTTAAGTTAAAGTTTTTGTAATAGTTCAAATTTTTTCAAAGTCCATTGACATATGGCTTTGAAACTTTGCACACTTGTTCACCATCATGACCCCAACCTGTAAACAGGAGGAGGTAAATTTATCAAGCATTTTTTTTTTACTATCAAGCACTAAGAATAGTCGAGCGTTGCTGTCCTACCTACAGCTCTTGTTTATGTCCAAATTTCAATATTTAATTCGGCTATTATTTTTATACGCCCGTTTGAAAAACGGGACGTATTATGGGAACGCCCCTGGCGGTCGGGCGGGCGGCGTCCAATTTTGTCCGGAGCATATCTCCTTCATGTATGGAAGGATTTTAATGAAACTTCATAGAAATGTTCACCACTATGAGGAGCAGTGTCGCGCACATGAACCAGGTCTCTAGGTCAAAGGTCAAGGTCACACTTAGAGCTCATTGAAAAATGCTTGTCCGGAGCAAAACTTCCACATGTATAGAGGGATTTCAATATTACTTGGCACAAATGTTCACCATTGTGAGGCGGAGTGTCGCTTGCAAGATTCAGGTCCTTGCGGCCAAGGTCAAGGTCACACATAGAGGTCAAAGTTCAGATAAAAATATGAAGATGTGTATATGGACCATTTAGTCATCATTTATTGAGGGATTGTAACACAAATGGTCATTATCAAGACTATGGCTGTGATACATATAATTTAGGTCAATATATACAAGGTCAAGGTCACTAAAGATGATGAAATATCCAGATTTTGTAAATAGAATTTAATCAAAGGGCGACAACAAAGTTATTACTTTGTTCATAAATGACTTACACAATTACTCCCCTTGATCTACTTTCACTTTCAATTCTAAAAATAGAATTTAATCAAAGGGCATAAAATAATCCTCTTTCTTGGACTTGAGTATGTTCTAAAGAATGTAACATTTATTTACACATGTTTCATTCATTGGTCAAGATTCTTAACTGTGATAACTATGGTGTTCTGTAGACTTGGTATTTGTTCATAAAGATCATACAGTAATTACCTTATCAAATGTAAATACTTTCTCATAGAAATTTAATTATTTTTTAATTTTCAAGTAAATATCAGTTCAGCTCTCCTACATGTATGGAGGGATTTTAATGAAACTTCATAGAAATGTTCACCACTATGAGGAGCAGTGTCGCGCACATGAACCAGGTCTCTAGGTCAAAGGTCAAGGTCACACTTGGAGCTCATTGAAAAATGCTTGTCCGGAGCAAAACTTCCACATGTATAGAGGGATTTCAATATTACTTGGCACAAATGTTCACCATTGTGAGGCGGAGTGTCGCGCGCAAGATTCAGGTCCTTGCGGCCAAGGTCAAGGTCACACATAGAGGTCAAAGTTCAGATAAAAATATGAAGATATGTATATGGACCATTTAGTCATCATTTATTGAGGGATTGTAACACAAATGGTCATTATCAAGACTATGGCTGTGATACATATAATTTAGGTCAATATATACAAGGTCAAGGTCACTAAAGATGATGAAATATCCAGATTTTGTCCGGAGCATATCTCCTACATGCATGGAGGGATTTTAATGAAATTTCATAGAAATGTTCACCATTATGAGAAGCCATGTCACGCACATGAACTAGGTCTCTAGGTCAAAGGTCAAGGTCACACTTAGAGCTCATTGAAAAATGCTTGTCCGGAGCAAAACTTCCACATGCATAGAGGGATTTCAATATAACTTGGCACAAATGTTCACCATTGTGAGGCGGAGTTTCGCGCACAAAATTCAGGTCCTTGCAGCCAAGGTCAAGGTCACACATAGAGGTCAAAGTTTAGATAAAAATATGAAAATGTGTATAGGGACGATTTAATCATCATTTATTGAGGGATTGTAACACAAATGGTCATTATCATGACTACGGCTGTGACACATGTACTTTAGGTCAATATATGCAAGGTCAAGGTCACTAAAGATGGTGAAATATCCAGATTTTGCCTGGAGCATATCTCCTACATGTATGGAAGAATTTTTATAATACTTTATGGAAATGTTCACAACCATGATATGTATTGCTCCATGCATGATCCAGGTCTCCAGGTCAAAGGTCAAGGTCACACTTAGAGCTCATTGAAAAACGCTTGTCCGGAGCAAAACTTCTACATTCATAGGGGGATTTCAATATAACTTGGCACAAATGTTCACAATTGTGAGGCTGAGTGTCGCACGCAAAATTCAGATCCCTGCAACCAAAGTCAATGTTACACATAGAGGTCAAAGTTCAGATAAAAATTTGAAGATGTGTATAGGGACCATTTAGTCATCATTTATTGATGGATTGTAGCACAAATGGTTACTATCATGACTACAGGTGTGACACATTTAATTTAGGTTAATATTTGCAAGGTCAAGGTCACTGGAGATGATTAAATATCCAGATGTTGTCCGGAGCATATTTTCTACATGCATGGAGGAATTTTAATGTTACTTTATAGAATTGTTCACCACCATGAGACGTAGTGCCCTGCACATGAACCAAGTCTCTAGGTCAAAGGTGAATGTCACAGTTAGAGCTCATAGAAAAACACTTGTCTGAAGCAAAACTTCTACATGCATAGAGGGATTTCAATATAATTTGGCACAAATGTTCATCATTGTGAGGCTGAGTGCCGTGCATAAAATTCAGGTCCCTGCGACCAAGGTCAAGGTCACACATCCTGTGCATATCTTCCCTACTGATTTGTTTTAAGGTTCATTTAACAACACAGTGCCAAGAATAAAAACTTGCTTGCTAGATAACACTTATCCATAATGCCCCCATCTCCATCTAAAGCTTTCGTAAACGGGCGTATTTTGTAACTATGGCACCCTTGTTTCATTTGAAATCGTAAGTACCATATGCACTAAATTTATCGATAACAGTCATATTCTATATAGAAAAAATTAAGTCAATAACGAACAATTTTTAATAAGTAACATTCAATTAAAAAGGAAAAAGAAAAACTAAGAATATAACAACAATCTGAACATCCGGATGTATCCGGATGTTTGATTCTGATATTTGGATGACCATTTCAGCTCTAGATGACATCCCTTCTTATTAGCTACCGATAGGGGCCATACATGTTTTATAAACATCTTGTTTACATGCGCTCCTATATGGTGGGATAGCTTTTGTTCAATATTTGTAGAGTTTTCGTACTTGATTTGCAATTTTCAACTTGTATCCACTTGACCCAAAAATTCTTCATCAAGAGTTAATTGACAAAACAGTGAAATGGTGGGGCATCCGTGTCCTATGGACACATTTCCAGTTTTACAAATGCAATTTTGTTCAAAATCATATTTCATTTTATATCCTCTGAATTGATTAAAAGAAAATTATAATACAGTTAAACTTCGTTCGCTCGAACTCGGATCGCTCGAATACCTCCTTTCGCTCGAACTCATCGTCCAGTCCCGGCAAAATTCCTATATAATATATATTGTTCTACCTCGGATCGCTCGAACACCCATCGCTCGAACTCTCGAACATGATCTCTGGTCCCTTCGGCAGAAATATAGTGTAAATCACACCTTTTCGGTCGAACACAAACAGACAACAAAAGTTGCGGGTCGACATGTTCTAAATAATTGACAGTCGGTGACACATGTTTTTAACACCTCGTGATCGTGACAAAGGCAATTAAGGTTAATTGATACAAAATAAAAGGTGTTGTAACCGATTTGTTTGCAATGATAAAATTGTATATTTGCCGTCTTTAGTAACGATAAAAAGAAAACAACTCCTGAAATGCGCAAAAGTCAATAAATAAATGACGTTTGCCAGGACGGCTTTAATTACAACCGAGGTTCCTGTATCGTGAATTGTCAGTGTAATCTATTGATAGAATGATATTTGTACGTGTTTATTTTAGTAAATGACTACAAATATATGTTGCTGTAAAATGTTTTTTTATCCCCCGCCGATGGAATCGGGAGTGGGATATAGTTTTGGCGTTGTCCGTCCGTCCGTCCGAATTTCGTTTCCGGAGTAGTTCTCTGCAACACTGGCTGAAATTCAACGAAACTTTATGGGAATCATCAATATCAAGAGGAGATGCGCATATCGTCGGCTTGTTCCGGTCAGACACTTAAACTCAGAGTTATTGCCCTTGATTAGTTATGTAGTATGCATATTGAGTAAAAATCGTTTCCGCGCTACTTCTCTGCAACTACTGGCTGGAATTCAATGAAACTTTATGGGAATCATCAATACCAAGAGGAGATGTGCATTTCGTCAGCTTGTTCCGGTCAGACCCTTAACTCAGAGTTATGGATCTTTATTAGTTATGCAGTATGCATGTAGAGTAAAAATCGTTTCTGGACTAGTTCTCTGCAACTACTGCCTGGAATTCAACGAAACTTTATGGGAATCATCAATATCAAGAGGAGATGCGCATTTCGTGGCCTTGTTCCGGTCAGACTCTTTAACTCAGAGTTATGGCCCTTGATTAGTTATGCAGTATGCATATAGAGTAAAAATCGTTTCCGCACTACTTCTCTGCAACTACTGGCTGGAATTCAACAAAACTTTATGGGAACCTTCAATACCAAGAGGAGATGCGCATATCATCGGCTTGTTCCGGTCAGACACTTTAACTCAGAGTTATGGCCCTTGATTAGTTATGCAATATGCATATGGAGTAAAAATCATTTCCGGAGTAGTTTTCTCTGCAACTACTGGCTGGAATTCAACGAAACTTTATAGGAATCATCAATATCAAGAGGAGATGCGCATATCGTAGGCTTGTTCGGGTCAGACCCTTTAACTCAGAGTTATGACCCTTGATTAGTTATGTAGTATGCATATAGAGTAAAAATCGTTTCCCCACTACTTCTCTGCAACTACTGGCTGGAATTCAACAAAACTTTATGGAAACCTTCAATACCAAGAGGAGATGAGCATATCTCGGCTTGTTCCGGTCAGACACTTTAACTCAGAGTTATGGCCCTTGATTAGTTATGCAGTATCCATATAGAAAAATATTTGTTTCCTCGCTACTTCTCTGCTACCACCGGCTGGAATTCAATGAAACTTTATGGGATACTAAGAGGAGATGTGCATATAGTCGCCTTGTTTCAGTCAGATACTTATAACTCAGATTTATGGCCCTTGATTAGTTATGTAGTATGCATACATCTCATTGGCATTTCCAGATTTTACTATTTTACACAAAGTTATGGCTCTGTTATTTCCCTGAATATTTATCAAGTTCAAAGAATATTACTGTTTATGCCATGATTAATATATAAATAAAGCCTTATGTCTTCAGTTGTTGTGTTAATAATAACCAGTACTCGGCGGGGGATATAAATTCAACGAATTTGCTTGTTTATATTTAATTAATTCATTGTTTAAAATAAAATTAATTCCATAATAAAATATAAATATATTTTGAACATTGTTCACAGTTTGGATAATGATCGCCCAATCGAACTCAACCAATTACAATATACATGAATATAGATTAACACAGTGTACCGTTAATATTGTTTTCAATAGGATAATATTTCTTAATATGACGTATTCGACAAACAGATGTTCTAACAACAATTATATTGAAGTATTTATCATTTGACCTATGTAAGCTGGAAAACCTTTAGACATGTTCTATGTAATAATAGTTCAACCTCGGTTGGCTCGAACTACCGATCTCTCGAACAAATTTTCACAGACCCTCCGAGTTCGAGCGAACGAAGTTCGACTGTATAATGTTTGGCTACTCTGCATCTTTTGCAAGAGATTTCTGTTTGACACATTATAATATTTTATCTATCAAACTGTAAAATGTTCCTCTTTAAATGATAATACCTAGGTTGTTTTAAATGGAGGGTATTGTACAATTCCTCAGTTGATAATGATTAAAAATTGTACAATAATTAGATTAAGAGCAAATCTTGGGAGAAGAATCCCAATATACACAGATTTTTTTTCACGTGTTTCTAATTTAAAGCAGGTGAAAGTAACAAAGATGTGTTTGTACAGACACAGGAGGAAATATATCAAAGGCGCAAAGCAGGTAAGAAAATATTGCTCTAATTTTATACATCTAGAAAATCAAGCTAAATTTGGCCTTGAAAATAAACTCTAAATACAAAGTCTGATATTGAGGGGCAGGACATAAAGTGGCTGCATACTTGAATGGCCATTCCTTACGGGAATGTAAATGACACACTTAAGCTTCTAATTTGACTAAGGTATCAAAGATGGTCATGTACATATTTTTATGCTCCCTGAAGGGTGCGCATTTAGTTTGCCGCTTTGTCAGTATGTCCGTCCGCTTTTCTTGTCCAGGAAATAACTCTGAAACAACAAAAGGTATCAAAATGAAACTTTGTAAGTAGATAGATCTCATTGGGTAATGCAGTGCACAAGATTCTTAACTCTGCTTTGCCTTATTTTGAAGGTTACCCTTTGTTCATTTTTATTTAGAAGTATTGTTACAGTCCTGGCGCCATTGTCGTCTGCAAACTTGAACCTGGATCATAACTATTTTAGGATTGTGCCTATATGACTGAAATACTGTTGGAAAAAGGCTTAAATGAAACAAACAAACAAACAAGGATGGCTAATCAAATGGGTCCGTTGTCCGGCGTCCGTCCACATTTTATTCAAACAACAACTTCTTTAATACCACTTGGCCAATATTAATGAAATTTGGCAGGAATACTGTTTGCATAAAGCTCTGTCAAGATTGTTCAAAGAATGCCATTCCATGCTAAACTCTGGTTGCTATGGCAACTAAAAAAAAAAGCTTAAAAGTTCTTATACTTCAAAATGGAAAGGGCTAGAGCTTAGATATTTCTCACAAGGCATTAGCTTGTTGGTTTCTACAAAGTATATTCAAATTATGGTCTAGAGTTGAAAATCGGTCTCTGTTTTGGGGGTTAAAGGGTTTTTTTTTATTGCAAGGTTACATAGACTTTCTTTGTTGGGATATAATTGAGATAGTGTATCTTGTAGTATCTTGTATTTTTTTTCCCAACAGACATTGTTATGAAGATTTTTCTGTTAAAGCATTAGAAAGATGAAAAGGTTGTTGAATGTGAATGTTAATTTAAAACAGAGTCAATCAGAATAGCACAAATGGGGGGGGGGAACAAAAAACCGTCGAAACACATCTATATGAGGGAAAATGTTAAGAATGCTTTGGTCAACAGTCTTCATATTTGGTATTGAGGTTTTTTATGACTAGTAGATGACCCCTTTTGATTTTTAGGTGACTGTGTCAAAGGTCAAGGTCACAGGGATATTTACTATGATCAGCTTGTCTACTCAAATGCTTAAGAATGCCTGTCCGCAGTGAATTGATTTTGACTTTTTCACATTTGAAGCATGTAGAATACATAACTTAACAATGCACCAGCATTAAGTTACCTCAGATTTTGCAGGGACGTTGTCCTTGAGCTCTAAATGGCCACTTTTGGTTCTGACAAAGTGGTATGCCGGAATATTCACGCCATGACAGTGGCAGTTCTAGTTCATTCCTAATTCTTCTTGTATCAATACTTGGTCATTGAAAACATGGCTATTTTTGTCATATTTCTTTTCTTGTTGAAAAATGGTTACAAATATCTGCACCTTTTGTGGTTAGCAAACACATTCTTGTTATTATATGTTTCAGAGTTAAAAGATGGTCTGTGTGAATTCTACAAGGCAAGACACAGTCGTATTTTCCTGTTGCCTCTTTTTCAAGAGAAAGACACTACATTTGCTTCTTTCTATATCAGACCGGAACTGAGCTTGAGAATTGCAACACAGATGAGAAATGCTGAAAACTTACCCGTTAAATCATTATCGGAGATTTTTGGAAAAAGGCAAAATCAAGAAATTTATGTACTTGCTGATGCTGGACTTGGAAAAACTGCATTTTCAAAGTATCTGGCTAACGTGTGGTGTCAAGCTCATTGCCCAGATGAAGACATGATTAAATTTTTTTTCAAGGATGACATAGACTGTATGCGAGAATTTGATTTCTTGTTCCTAGTGTTATTGAGAGATGCGGACAATTTATGCTGTATAGATGACCTTATATTTCAAAAAATTGTTTCAAGATTGGGACTAGAAGAAACAATTTCTATAGATGTCCTGCTTAAAATTTTGGAAAATGAGAAATGCCTAGTAATACTTGATGGATTAGATGAATGGACTCATCCTGACAAGGAATGTAACAAATTGCCCAGATTGATCCCCCACAGACCATCATTTCTCGATGACCAGGAAAAGTGTACAGTACTGACAACCTCGCGGCCCTGGAAATTAGAACTTTTGGAACCAAATTTTGTTCATGTAGGAGAAAAGGTAGAACTTGCACAACTAAGTTATGGCTCAGCAGTCAAACTTATTAGTAGGATATTACAAACATTGAAGTCTTACCGAGATAAGGATGCATTACATTGTGACACCATACAGTTGATGGAAACAATCAGTCAGATGCAAAACTCCAAGCTTGCTTTTGTACCTCTACTTTTAATATATACAACTTGTTTATGGTGCAATGGTATTCAAATAGGGAATTCAATAGTTGATTTCTATTTGGAAATAGTCGAGCTTCTTTTATCGAGATCAAGTCAAATCTATGGTGAGCTTCAACAATGGCAGGAACTTTCTTCCAGTGAAATCCCAAAATGCTTTGCTGAATATGATAACTGTTCTAAACACTTTCCACGTCTGTTGTGTTTAGGAAAATTAGCTTATAATACACTATTCAATGAAACAAAAGAAAACACACTAGTATTTGACGGATCAGTTGCTAGAAAATATCTCACACCAGACGAGATGAAATTCACCATGCGCTCAGGAATGTTGTCAGAAAGTACATCTAAAACACTAACAAAAAAGTTCAGTAAAGTATCGTTTTCCCACAAAACATTTCAAGAATTCTTTGCCGCCATTTTTATAAGTTCTCAAAGTGATGCTTGGAAAACTGTTCAAGAGAAATGTAGAAATGTTCGAGATATTCTGGACATGTCAAAAATTTGTGAATTTATGAGTGGAATGAATGCTGACTTGATGTGTGAAATATCAAATGATTTGATGTCTGTGATAAATGAAGACGAGATTACACGCAACTATAGAACTAGTACAGGTGGCGGAAACATGGTGTACAATAATCCATTGTATAACATACAGGAAATGTTCATGTCGTGTTTACAAGAAATGCCTGAAAGTGAAAATATTCAATTATGTTTACAAGATTTCTTCATTAACGAGGACACCAAGCACAGTAAGCAGTTACAACGTTTGTTAAAACAAAATAAAACCAACATAAAGTCACTTTATATAAACATGAGATATATTTCCAGCAGTTTACGTGAAATTATAGATTTATTCTCTCTCACAGATCTCAGTCATATACAGAAACTTAACTATGAGGGTTACAGGGAGGAGGAGGCTAAGATAAACAGGATATTATTTCCCAGTTTACAGGACGTATATTTGTCGCGGTGTAAATTGACAAATGATGGAAATCTGAGTGAAAATTTAGCGCGAGTACAAAACATGCAATATTTATATATTGGCGAGTTCACGTTACCTCACAAAATACTGGAAACATTTCTCAATTTTATCTCTGGTCAAAGATCAATGAAAAAGTTAACATTGAACAGGTTATACTGTAAAGAACATGGCCGCCATGATTGTAAGAGATTGAACTTGAACTTGGACTTGTCTCAACATTCAACTCTATCAAAGTTAGACTTGGAGTATTTACCTGGGAGGCTACAATTAAATACATCAACACCGTCATTAGTTGATGTTTCGTTGTCGGACATCAATCTAGATGAAAGTTCATTGTTACTGTCACGTGACATGTTGAATATTGAACGTGTGGAGTTGTGGAGAACAGAAATGTCTGCAGAAAGTTTACAGAACTTTATTATCGTGCTGAAAAATCTGCCGCAGTCAGTTACAGTTAAGATGGACCACATTACACAGAGAACAGAATATGACCGTGTTAGAGAAAATATTCGGAGATCTCAAATTTTTCATGTGATACGAGACAACGACTCCTGGCAGGAGTTTGAGTTCAAAACAATAAAACCGAGTAAAGAATAAACAAAGGAAAAACATTGTACAATAAACTGAAGAAATTACTTTAATAATTTTAAATGAAAAAAATTTAAAAATGGACACTCAAAAAACAAAATGACGATTTCTTCTATGTTATATATGTACTGTATAGTTTGGTCATTTAATTTACAAACATATCAGTTTAAAGTTTAATTAAGTGACAGTTGTTTATAAATAAATAAAACAATTTTAAGAGGAGAAATAATTCGAGGAAGTTTTTTTTTTCCACCGGAACTTTATGGATAACTTGGAATTAGGATTTGGAAATATTTAACAGGTAAGAGGTTTATATTGAATTATTTATCTTTTATATTATTTCATTTTACACACCTTAGTATTGAAAAAGATTATTCTAATTAGATTTTAAGATTTTCTTTTAATTAAATTTAAAAAAAACAACTTTATTTAACCCATTGCTTCATGAGCATTTTGTGAAAAATGGCTGTTTTCATTGAAAAGTCTCCCGTTACAAGTTCAAATTGCTATAATACTATAAAAACTGCTTCAACACTAATCAAACTTGGCACAAATGTTGACTGGACCATTGCCCTTGCAACAACATGCTCAGGCTTAAATTTTCTGTTACCATGGCAACGAGGGGACATCTCAAAATTGCCAAAAATCACTATTTTGCGTTGATTTTTTCCATCAAAATTGATTTCAAAGTGCTGCAACTTCTCAATGGATTGAGATAGAGTCAAATGCTTTTCAGCGTTGGTTACACGGTACCTTATGATCAATCTGGGGTCATTTACAGCCTCTAGCAAGTCCAAAATTTTCTTGGCGATGAGGGGACTCCGCCCCCTTCAAACCCCCCAAACAGAAGGGGGCACATCCCCCTTCTGCCAACCCCTGATGTATCTTTTGGTTGGGGGCCGCGCCGAAAAAGAGTCACTTTTTTAACAGCATTTCTCAAACAAAAACAAGTGTTTGGGGCCTAAATAAGGCATTTTTTTATCATTGGAGACAACAAAAGGGGGGGGGGTGAAAAAGGCGTTAAAAGGCGTGTATATGAAGTAATGGGTTAACAGAAAATGATGAAAATACTTGAAATTACCCTTAATCGCGTTTTTTCATGTTTAAACATGGTCTGTCATATAAATTTGAAGAAAAATTGTTGTTTTGTAGATTTTTTTATTTTTTTCATTAACCCATTGCTTCATGAGCATTTTGTGAAAAATGGCTGTTTTCATTGAAAAGTCTCCCGTTACAAGTTCAAATTGCTATAATACTATAAAAACTGCTTCAACACTAATCAAACTTGGCACAAATGTTGACTGGACCATTGCCCTTGCAACAACATGCTCAGGCTTAAATTTTCTGTTACCATGGCAACGAGGGGACATCTCAAAATTGCCAAAAATCACTATTTTGCGTTGATTTTTTCCATCAAAATTGATTTCAAAGTGCTGCAACTTCTCAATGGATTGAGATAGAGTCAAATGCTTTTCAGCGTTGGTTACACGGTACCTTATGATCAATCTGGGGTCATTTACAGCCTCTAGCAAGTCCAAAATTTTCTTGGCGATGAGGTGGACTCCGCCCCCCTTCAAACCCCCCCAAACAGAAGGGGGCACATCCCCCTTCTGGCAACCCCCTGATGTATCTTTTGGTTGGGGGGCCGCGCCGAAAAAGAGGTCACTTTTTTTAACAGCATTTCTCAAACAAAAACAAGTGTTTGGGGCCTAAATAAGGCATTTTTTTATCATTGGAGACAACAAAAAGGGGGGGGGGGGTGAAAAAGGCGTTAAAAGGCGTGTATATGAAGTAATGGGTTAACAGAAAATGATGAAAATACTTGAAATTACCTTAATCGCGTTTTTTTCATGTTTAAACATGGTCTGTCATATAAATTTGAAGAAAAATTGTTGTTTTGTAGATTTTTTTATTTTTTTCATTAACCCATTGCTTCATGAGCATTTTGTGAAAAATGGCTGTTTTCATTGAAAAGTCTCCCGTTACAAGTTCAAATTGCTATAATACTATAAAAACTGCTTCAACACTAATCAAACTTGGCACAAATGTTGACTGGAACATTGCCCTTGCAACAACATGCTCAGGCTTAAATTTTCTGTTACCATGGCAACGAGGGGACATCTCAAAATTGCCAAAAATCACTATTTTGCGTTGATTTTTTCCATCAAAATTGATTTCAAAGTGCTGCAACTTCTCAATGGATTGAGATAGAGTCAAATGCTTTTCAGCGTTGGTTACACGGTACCTTATGATCAATCTGGGGTCATTTACAGCCTCTAGCAAGTCCAAAATTTTCTTGGCGATGAGGTGGACTCCGCCCCCCTTCAAACCCCCCCAAACAGAAGGGGGCACATCCCCCTTCTGGCAACCCCCTGATGTATCTTTTGGTTGGGGGGCCGCGCCGAAAAAGAGGTCACTTTTTTTAACAGCATTTCTCAAACAAAAACAAGTGTTTGGGGCCTAAATAAGGCATTTTTTTATCATTGGAGACAACAAAAGGGGGGGGGGTGAAAAAGGCGTTAAAAGGCGTGTATATGAAGTAATGGGTTAACAGAAAATGATGAAAATACTTGAAATTACCCTTAATCGCGTTTTTTCATGTTTAAACATGGTCTGTCATATAAATTTGAAGAAAAATTGTTGTTTTGTAGATTTTTTTATTTTTTTCATTAACCCATTGCTTCATGAGCATTTTGTGAAAAATGGCTGTTTTCATTGAAAAGTCTCCCGTTACAAGTTCAAATTGCTATAATACTATAAAAACTGCTTCAACACTAATCAAACTTGGCACAAATGTTGACTGGACCATTGCCCTTGCAACAACATGCTCAGGCTTAAATTTTCTGTTACCATGGCAACGAGGGGACATCTCAAAATTGCCAAAAATCACTATTTTGCGTTGATTTTTTCCATCAAAATTGATTTCAAAGTGCTGCAACTTCTCAATGGATTGAGATAGAGTCAAATGCTTTTCAGCGTTGGTTACACGGTACCTTATGATCAATCTGGGGTCATTTACAGCCTCTAGCAAGTCCAAAATTTTCTTGGCGATGAGGTGGACTCCGCCCCCCTTCAAACCCCCCCAAACAGAAGGGGGCACATCCCCCTTCTGGCAACCCCCTGATGTATCTTTTGGTTGGGGGGCCGCGCCGAAAAAGAGGTCACTTTTTTTAACAACATTTCTCAAACAAAAACAAGTGTTTGGGGCCTAAATAAGGCATTTTTTTATCATTGGAGACAACAAAAGGGGGGGGGGGTGAAAAAGGCGTTAAAAGGCGTGTATATGAAGTAATGGGTTAATAAAAAAAATCCACTTTTAATATTTCCATACTTTTTAGCTCATCTGTCACAAAGTGACAGGGTGAGCTTTTGTGATCGCTTTTCGTCCGGCGTCCGTCCGTCGTCCGTCCGTAAACTTTTACTTTAAATGACATCTCCTCATAAACCACTAAGCCAATTTCATCCAAACTTCACAGGAATGTTCCTTTGGTGGTCACCTTTAAAAATTGTTCAAAGAATTTAATTCCATGCAGAACTCTGGTTGCCATGGGAACCGAAAGAAAAAACTTTAAATATCTTCTTTTAAAAAACCATAAGAGCTAGAGCTTAGATATTTAGCATGAAACATATTCTAGTGAGTGTCTACCAAGTTTGTTCAAATAAAAGCCCTGGGGTCAAAATTGGCCCCGCCCCGGGGGGGTCATTGATTTTCCCTATATGCATATAGTAAAAACTTTAAAAATCTTCTTTTAAAGAACCCAAAGAGCTAGAGCTAAGATATTTGGCATGAAACATGTTCTAATGGGTGTCTACCAAGTTTGTTCAAATAAAAGCCCTGGGATCAGGGTGAGCTATTAGGAAGCCAGCCCGCATAGCTCAATAGGTTAGAGCGCGAGACTTGTAATCTCGACATTGTGGGTTCGATTCCCGGGCTGGCCAACTAAAATTACTAATCAGTCTTTCGGATGAGACTTTAAATCGAGGTCCCGTGTATGGGTGCTTAAACACTTGGCACGCTAAAGAACCAGGAGAAGCTTCTGGAATTGGGGCATCTTTCTGATCTGTAATTGCACTATCCTCCGAAATATAAAATGACTAATACTCTTCTGGAGGGCTCGCCCATATGGGCAACCGGTGGCGAGTACAAATAAACGCAAATACACACAAATGAGCTATTAGGATCACTCTTCGTCTGTCGTCCGTCGTACGTCGTCCGTTGTCCGTTCACACTTTTCAAACGACATCTCCTCTGAAACCATAAGCAGGCTTTCAAGCGGGCCCTACTTTTCCTTCTTTTCCTACTTTTCCCTACTTTTTTTGTTTGACCCCTACTTTTCCCTACTTTTTACTTGAAATGCCCTACTCAGGCTGTCAACCAATTCCTATATTCCTATAAAACTCCTATATTTTGGGTCTGAATCCTATATTTTAAAAAACCTCCTATTTTTCCTATATTCTCCTATATTTTGAATATTTTTCCTATATTTTTTTAAAAAGTATATTGCCGAGGAATTCAAAGAGATTTAAATTTTGGTACTGCTTTTGGCCTTTTGTATTTTACAGGTAAGAGAATGTGAATGCCTGCATCAGCATCACATTACTATGCTCAAGGCTGCTGTGCTCCACATAGCCAACTGCATGGTCACCATGAAAAGCAGTGCATCAGTATGTCACATTTATTTCAGTTGACCATTCAGATGATGGTCATGCATTGCTGTATCTTTCCGCTGATGCTGTGGTTTAAAGCTAATGCAGGCTGTCCAGCATCCCTAAAATTCCTAAAAAAGTGAAAAATTCGAAGGGAATTCCTAAAAATGCCCTATTTTTTCACTGAAATTCCTAATTATTTTTATCTTTTGTACTAAACATACTTATAACTTGTAACCCTATAAATATAACTCAAAGTCGACCATGTTTTGAACATTGTCAAAAATGATTTGGCCATGATTTGCCAACTCAAAATTGATGACATTGAAATGGTTTCGTTTAAACTAAAAGTTACTTTGACTATGTCAGTAACATTGCTATTTCATAATCAAAGCAGTTGTTGATAATCATGTTGACAGTTAACAGCAAAAACACTACCATATCATTGTCCTGAAACTTAAATCATAACCATAAGAGTCCACTTATTCTGGAATATTTTGACACTGCTTTGCCAACTCCAGATATCTTGAATTTAATGTTTGTTCATTTTATCCAAAATTCTGAAGTGGTCCATTTGTATCATATCATATTTGAAAATGATCATTATGAAGCTGTTGTAACACAATCTTAATTAAAAACATGTATAAATAGTTGTCAAAAATTAATGCACAATTTGTTTACTCACAACTCTTTTATTTAAATCTGCATAATATCAAAACAACATTGTAAAGTACTGCATGGGTTACATAGACTTTGAAAAATTAATTCTTTCCCTCATACTTATTTATTCTTTCCGTATCTTTGTAGGAGAAATTGCTTATTCAGTCTTTGAAATTAACGCCAGTCCGAGGCCCGAGGCCACTAAATTTAGCATCGGTCCGGTGATTATGGCAAGGTTGGTGGTCCGACGGACCAGTAGATTTTTTGTCATGAAAAAATATTATAAGAAAAATTCATCAAAATAATGAAGCAGGGTTCTCTAAAAGATTGATCTTTTTGCCTTTTTTGCAAATGAAACCCATCAATTCTGTCCTAAATGTTCAAAACACAGCGAGAGATGTCTAAATTGTATTGATCGAGTAATGGAGGCCGCCATTTTTTTCTTCGATATTTTCCGTACCGCACCGTACAGTTACAGAAATTAAACCATTGTTATTATGGTCATTATTTAGCTATGATTTTGTGAATATTGAGTTAAGTAAATATTTTGTGTGAAGGTGATTTGTTTGAAGCAAATTGCGTTGTTCATGTTCAATTCTAGTCAATTTTGCCTGAACATTTGGTCCTTATAGATTTTTCAAAGCTGTCAACATATGGCCCAGAATACAAGACATATTATGCTTCTTTCAAAATTATCAAGGGTAGCATGATAAAGTGTTTTCCTGTTCCCATCAATTTATTACCTATCTATGTATTTGGTCCGGCTAAAAACCACAAGGTCCAGTAAGATTTGACATTTAACTGGACCTAATGTCCTGTGCGTTTTAAAGATTTTCGTGAAGACTGCTTATTTTGCCACAAAGTTATCAATTTCATTCAGTTCTTGTTCTTTCATTCATATGGTGCAATTTAGGAAAGACAGACTCATATAATTAATCACACTCAAAATAATTTGGCAGTTCAGTAATATAAAGCTCATTTCCAATTACAATGTACACACATTTTGAAATTATGTGATCTAGATAAAGTGCAATTGAATGGTCTGTGTGATGAACTTTTTTGATGTGCAATTCTTTGTGTTGAATATAGATGTTTCCCATTTATTCAAATGACTGTACTAAGGCAAATGCCTTTTTATACGCCCGTTTGAAAAACGGGACGTATTATGGGAACGCCCCTGGCAGGCGGGCCGGCGGCGTCCAATTTTGTCCGGAGCATATCTCCTACATGTATGGAGGGATTTTAATGAAACTTCATAGAAATGTTCACCACTATGAGGAGCAGTGTCGCGCACATGAACCAGGTCTCTAGGTCAAAGGTCAAGGTCACACTTAGAGCTCATTGAAAAATGCTTGTCCGGAGCAAAACTTCCACATGTATAGAGGGATTTCAATATTACTTGGCACAAATGTTCACCATTGTGAGGCGGAGTGTCGCGTGCAAGATTCAGGTCCTTGCGGCCAAGGTCAAGGTCACACATAGAGGTCAAAGTTCAGATAAAAATATGAAGATGTGTATATGGACCATTTAGTCATCATTTATTGAGGGATTGTAACACAAATGGTCATTATCAAGACTATGGCTGTGATACATATAATTTAGGTCAATATATACAAGGTCAAGGTCATTAAAGATGATGAAATATCCAGATTTTGTAAATAGAATTTAATCAAAGGGCGACAACAAAGTTATTACTTTGTTCATAAATGACTTACACAATTACTCCCCCTTGATCTACTTTCACTTTCAATTCTAAAAAATAGAATTTAATCAAAGGGCATAAAAATAATCCTCTTTCTTGGACTTGAGTATGTTCTAAAGAATGTAACATTTATTTACACATGTTTCATTCATTGGTCAAGATTCTTAACTGTGATAACTATGGTGTTCTGTAGACTTGGTATTTGTTCATAAAGATCATACAGTAATTACCTTATCAAATGTAAATACTTTCTCATAGAAATCTAATTATTTTTTAATTTTCAAGTAAATATCAGTTCAGCTCATTCAAAGATTAAGAACTGTAATGAAATGTATTTCCCTAGAATAAAATCTTAAATCAGAATTTTTTAGTTATTAAATTACAATTACATGTACTTTTTATACGCCCGTTTGAAAATGCATAGAGGGATTTCAATATAACTTGGCACAAATGTTCATCATTGTGAGGCTGAGTGCCGTGCATAAAATTCAGGTCCCTGCGACCAATGTCAAGGTCACACATCCTGTGCATATCTTCCCTACTGATTTGTTTTAAGGTTCATTTAATAACACAGTGCCAAGGATAAAAACTTGCTTGCTAGATAACACTTATCCATAATGCCCCCTTCTCCATCTAAAGCTTTCGTAAACGGGCGTATTTTGTGATTATGGCACCCTTGTTACTTTTAACCTACTTTTACAAAAAATTTCATTTGTCCATAATTATGATTCTAAAGCTGCATAAATGTGCAATTCCTTTTAGACACTTGTGGTTATAACATTCCCAAAACATAGGTAGAACATGTTCTTTTTGACATGTTCAGCCATTTTAAAAAAAATGGTTTGAACATGATTTGACTATGACCATTTCTGCAGGGGAGGCATTTGACCAGTGAGTCCACACTGGTAGCACCTTTGGGGCTCTATTACTTAAGCTAGAGCATTATTTGTGAGTTACTTTTGTTCAAAATATGCAAAGGTTAGCCCACATCGTGTTCTTTTGGGACCTTAGTTTATTTAGTCATAAAAATAGCAAATTGTAGCCCTAAAATTTCTATTTACGTACCCTAAAATTCCTAATTTTAGCCCTAAAATTTCTGAAATATTAACTGTAAAATTCGCCCTAAATTTTATGTTTGGAAGGTGCTGGACAGCCTGCTAATGGTTTCCCTTCACTTATACGGTAAACATTTTATTGTAGAAACAGCATGTTGAAAAGTAAGAATAATTTACATTTATATAAGCATTGGTAAGTTAAACAATTTAAGTTGAAAACTCCTATTTTTTTTGCCTTAAAATGGTCCAAAAACTCCTATATTTCCTGCTAAAATATTCCTATATTCCTCCTATATTTTGGATAAGACCTGGTTGACAGCCTGCCTACTATCCCTACTTTTTTTAAAAAAAAGCTCGAGGATAATTGATAAAAAAATCCAGTATAAGCAGTAGATTGATTTTGATATAATCTTTATCTCAAATTTAATAAGAACCAGATGCAAGTTTAATTGTAGGAAAAAGTTGATAGAAGTAGGTCATCAGTGGTGCAAGAGGGGTTCCATGATGAGGCTGGTTTTAGCTGACATGGCAGAATCAGCGACATTAGGTGAGTTTCCTTCTATAGAAATATTACTTAGTGTTCAATTATATTTTATGTTTCATTTAAAAATTATAGTATGTTTTTGTACACAGACTAGCTTCTCAATTGTTTCATTACAAAATTATAATATGTTTTTGTACACAGACTAGCTTCTCAATTGTTTCATTTCAAAATTATAATATGTTTTTATACACAGATTAGCTTCTCAATTGTTTCATTTCAAAATTATAATATGTTTTTATACGAAGACTAGCTTCTCAATTGTTTCATTTCAAAATTATAATATGTTTTTGTAAACAGACTAGCTTCTCAATTGTTTAATTTCAAAATTATAATATGTTTTAAACAGACTAGCTTTTCAATTGTTTAATTTCAAAATTATAAAATAGATTCTCAATTGTTTCCCAATGATGTTTATGCTGAGGGACAATACTTGCCAACATCTTTGAGCATATATAGATTTTAGACAATGTTTGGCATATTGGCAAGTATTGAAGTTGCTCACTGTGATCATTTTGTCCTGAATTTTCATTGAATGAAAGATACTGGAAAAATGTAGAGAGTGTTTCTGAAAAATATGTATGCTTTAATTAGATAGAATTTGATAGCTTTAATATGGTGAGGGATTAGGAATCTTTATCTTATAACAGATAATTTAAGAATAACTAACTGTGTGTTTAGGCTTTCAGTGTGCCAATTATTAGTTATAACCATTAAAAATGTGAGAGATTGTTGTTGCATCCAAAGTTTACTTATCTCTATCTTTAAATATATATATATAATATGGCATAAATACTCATCTCTACCTTGGAATTATCTGAGACTTACTTACATTTCTCGCAAGTGTCATTAAGTTTCTTTTTAAATTCTATTTTACTAACAATTTATTATTTCAGGTTCATTAATTTATAAAAATTAACTTCACAATGCCACAAGGACTCACAAAATTTAACAATGCATGGTTAATGCAAAAAGATGAAAATGGACATGAACTCCATTCCTAGTGTAAAAATGACTCTAACTATGAATACAGTGGCTACTGTTATCTCTGTTGCAAATCTGTCCAATGTTCAAATAATGGAGTCAAGCAAATCATGTTTTAACACCTATCCTTGTTCTAGCCTGTGTTTCACATATTATGCTAGCTAAAACCATGTTTTTGCACATAACATTTTTCTTGTTTGTATTTTGTAACAACCATACTATCTTAAACAAGGTTTTAACACATTTCCTGTTTCTAGTCTGTGTACAAAAAACATGCTTACTATATGTTTAATGTTGCTAAAAGTCTGTGTTCTGACATATTCATTGTTTATAATTTTCTGTTATTTTTTGGAATTGGATCTAATAAAAAAATACCAATTCCAGGTTGATGTCCAGATTCATCCCGTTGTGGAATCCCTATTGAGACACTGGTGACTGGTTTCCTAAATGAAAAAAATGCCATGGATAATAGTTGATAAGGGTCTGTATTTGTTTTTGCATCAACTTTGGAAAAAAGGTGAGAAGAGAGTCCTACTTTCCCTACTTTTAGGCTCTGAAAATCCCTACTTTTCCCTACTTTTTTACAAAAAATTTCCTACTTTTATCCCTACTTTTTTAGCTCACCTGTCACAAAGTGACAGGGTGAGCTTTTGTGATCGCTTTTCGTCCGGCGTCCGTCCGTCCGTCGTCCGTCCGTAAACTTTTGCTATAAATGACATCTCCTCATAAACCACTAGGCCAATTTAATCCAAACTTCAAAGGAATGTTCCTTTGGTGGTCACCTTTAAAAATTGTTCAAAGAATTTAATTCCATGCAGAACTCTGGTCGCCATGGCAACCAAAAGAAAATTTTTTTAATATCTTCTTTAAAAAAACCATTAGAGCTAGAGCTTAGATATTTGGCATGAAACATCTTCTAGTGAGTGTCTACCAAGTTTGTTCAAATAAAAGCCCTGGGGTCAAAATTGGCGCCGCCCCTAGGGGTCATTGATTTTCCCTATATGCATATAGTAAAAACTTAAAAAATCTTCTTTTAAAGAACCGTAACAGCTAGAGCTTAGATATTTGGCATGAAACATCTTGTAGTGAATGTCTACCAAGTTTGTTCAAATTAAAGCCATGGGGTCAAAATTGGCCCCGACCCAGGGGGTCATTGATTTTCCCTATATGCATATAGTAAAAACTTAAAAAATCTTCTTTTAAAGAACCCAAAGAGCTAGAGCTAAGATATTAAGCATGAAACATCTTCTAGTGAGTGTCTACCAAGTTTGTTCAAATTAAAGCCATGGGGTCAAAATTGGCCCCGCCCCGGGGGTCATTGATTTTCCCTATATGCATATAGTAAAAACTTAAAATATCTTCTTTTAAAGAACCATAAGAGCTAGAGCTTAGATATTTGGCATGAAACATCTTGTAGTGAATGTCTACCAAGTTTGTTCAAATAAAAGCCCTGGGGTAAAAATTGACCCCGCCCCAGGGGGTCATAGATTTTCCCTACATGCATATAGTAAAAACTTATAAAAAATTTCTTTTAAAGAACCCAAAGAGCTAGAGCTAAGATATTAAGCATGAAACATCTTCTAGTGAGTGTCTACCAAATTTGTTCAAATTAAAGCCCTGGGGTCAAAATTGGCCCCGCCCCGGGGGTCATTGATTTTCCCTATATGCATATGGTAAAAACTTAAAAAATCTTCTTTTAAAGAACCATAAGAGCTAGAGCTAAGATATTTGGCATGAAACATCTTCTAGTGAATGTCAACCAAGTTTGTTCAAATTAAAGCCATGGGGTCAAAATTGGCCCCGACCCAGGGGGTCATTGATTTTCCCTATATGCATGTAGTAAAAACTTAAAAAATCTTCTTTTAAAGAACCCAAAGAGCTAGAGCTTAGATATTAAGCATGAAACATCTTCTAGTGAGTGTCTACCAAGTTTGTTCAAATTAAAGCCATGGGGTCAAAATTGGCCCCGCCCCGGGGGTCATTGATTTTCCCTATATGCATATAGTAAAAACTTAAAATATCTTCTTTTAAAGAACCATAAGAGCTAGAGCTTAGATATTTGGCATGAAACATCTTGTAGTGAATGTCTACCAAGTTTGTTCAAATAAAAGCCCTGGGGTAAAATTGACCCCGCCCCAGGGGGTCATAGATTTTCCCTACATGCATATAGTAAAAACTTATAAAAAATTTCTTTTAAAGAACCCAAAGAGCTAGAGCTAAGATATTAAGCATGAAACATCTTCTAGTGAGTGTCTACCAAATTTGTTCAAATTAAAGCCCTGGGGTCAAAATTGGCCCCGCCCCGGGGGTCATTGATTTTCCCTATAATGCATAT